ATTTTCACCACTATCTTCAGGCATGGGTCTGGATGACTCATCTTTGGTTGGCTTGGCTCCTGCAAGCTCGCACCTTAACTCGGCTACAGCTTCGGCTTACGAACAACTTTGGGTATCACCTTGCTCACTAGCAAGAATCACCCCTGGTCTAAGTCCTTCGACGAAGGTATTGCACGCACCACCATCACTCATTGCTATTTTGCACATGAGTATCTCACTCTTGATCCCATCCATCTCTTCCCTCAAGGCCATCAACTTGACCCTGAGCCATTACTCTTCTCTATTAACGTCCAAATATGGACACTCTGTTGCGCCACATCCTTGAACCCATCCCTTATGGATTCTAACTGTTCAAGACGGGACTCCATAACTCCTTGGACCTCATTGGCTTCTTTTGCGAAGCTCTCAAGGTTCTTGATCCTCACCTCCAACGATCCTGGGGTAACTCACACACTTTGTTCCTCTAGCTCAATCCCAACATCGCGGCTCTCAGCACCATTCTCTGTGGGAACAACTCCTTTTTGTTATACCATCTCATTTCCTTTCCACAACCTGTCTGAAACACTCGTTGAATCCACAACACCTACACTCTGACTTACTTTGACTCACTTTCACCAACCACATACACAATGATCGTTGTCTACCTCCAACGATTCACTCGGTCACTTCTAGTAGCGGGGCTACATTATCCGGTAATGTAACACGCTCCGATACCACCTATCACGGGGCTAGACTTCTGCTAGTAATTTCGTGCGGTACTTAGATGATTTTCAGGTAAAAATGGTACCTAAGTCAGCCTTATCCACGTCCTTGTGAGTCTCTGGCTCACTAAGCGATGAACAAACCCTCAAGGGTTAAACAACAATGCAGAAACAACACTTAATCGGGGCTAATCCAAGCCACCTGGGTTGAAGCGGATCTCTGAAGCATGAGCACTGTGAGAACTTTCTAAGTCACCAAAACTTGAATCACTTTGGCACTTTGAAAGAACTCGGGAAAAAAATACTCTCGAGGTTATCTCAGCCCTCACGATCAGCAACACAAGCCACAAAGGCTTAAACACAAAGGAGAACAAGCCGACAAGGCTATCAAGCTAGAAAGAATGAACTCAGAGAGAGTAAGAGTAAATGCCTGAGTTTTATTACTCTGAAGAGAATGAATGAAGTGAATGATTACAAATGAGGGGATGAGCTCTCTATTTATAGTTGAGGCCCTCAAGATCCAACGGTCTAGATCAAAGTACATCGACGGCTTACATTGAATCCTAATTTAACCAGAACTCTATCTCTAAGGTATTTGAATTCAAATAAAACATTATCCATAATTAATTCCTTAATTAGTGGATAATATTATTCTTTCTGGAATATTCCAAGGAACGGGCCAGGTCTGATGGTTCTAGGCAAGCCCAACACTCTGTATTATTCTTCTACAGAAATATGTGCACACATGTCTCGGTCCGAATCCATGAGCCTCAACAAAATTACCCCCATCGAACATGTAACACCCTCGTCGTTTCTCTTGGACGCCTCAGACTTCATCATTCACGAACTCGAGCCTTTACGGACTCGTAAGCATTCTCCAAGAACCATGCCAACTCGCCATGCCCAACAAGCCCAAATTTTGCGCAATAGAACCCCTTCTGTGAACCTTTGCGCCAATGTCCATGGACCCAAAAGTTTAGTCCGTGACAAAAACATGAAGCTCACCGCAGCAAACTAACAGAAGAGATGTTGGAGGATGTAACGGTGTACTAAAGATTGGTTGGTAGATTGCTTTATTTGACACACACACGTATGGATATTACGTATGTTATCCAGCATTTGAGTCAGTTCATGCATGCTCCAAAAAAGAGTCATTATGAAGCTATTTTATAGATTGTTAGGTATGTTTGCAAGCATCCAAGCCAAGGGATATTTGCTTGCAGTCAATAATAAACCTAAGTTGAAAGCGTAATGTGATTTTGAGTAGGCGAGTCGTCTTATGACACTAAGATCGATAACGAGTTATTGTGTGAAATTGGGAGATTCGTTGATATAAATTAGCTGACCCTTATTCCCATATGTAATGGGGTAAAGGGGAGGTAGGATAGTAGGCTGCCCCCAACGTCAGGTTGAGAGCAGCTTCCGTAGGAAACCTCCGAATTATGAAATGCCCTCCGTGGGACTCGATCCTACGACCCCAAGGTTAAGAGCCTTGTGCTCTACCAATTGAGTTGAATGGTCATTTCGGAGATTCGTTGATATGTTGGAAGTAAAAAAAAACAAAGCATTGTATCACGCTCGTATGCTGAAGCGAAATATAGGTGCATGGCAAATGCAATTACATAGATAATTTGGTTAAAAGGGTTAATTGAAGAACTAGGCATTAAACATGACATGCCTGCAGCTTTGTTTTGTGACAGTCAAGCATCGTTACAAATTATCGCCAATCCGATGTTCCACGAGAGGACGAAACACATAGAACCGACTGCCATCTTGTGCGGGAGAAGATTCAAAAGGGGATTGTTCAAACATTCCACATTTCGACCAATGAGCAGCAGGCAAATTTGTTAACAAAGGCTTGACAGCAAGTCAACATGATTATTTAGTGGCCAAGTTAGGAATGAGAGATGTATATCATTCACCAACTTGAGGGGGAGTGTTATAAAGTTGATAGTTAGTTAAATAAATATATATATGATCATATCTGCTTAAAATATTAAAATTTCAACAATGTGATGCCAAACATTTAACAAATATGACATCTTCTTTTAGTGCAATATATCAATAAATAAAAATGAAAGAGAACATATACAAATAAAGGATAAAATGGAGTACGGACACTTAATTGTCTGATTCCTCCGTTTCATGTGGAGGGTTGACTTTGTCCGTACTCGATGCATTTTTATTGTTATTTGATTATAAAAAAGTTTAGTTGCATTTATTTAAAACAAATATAGCTTTTATTTTTTTTTCTTTGAATAACAAACCCAGCTTAATCCTGAAAACCGATTTATATTAATATATTACACACATAACATGACCAACGCTTTCAAAACTAAAAACTTGAACCCCGTGCTTAATATAAATAAAATAAATTAAAACTTTTTTCCTGTCCTTTTCGAAAAGCCCTTTAGATTCCACGTGTTCTCTTTCACAAAGCAAAAAACTATGTTATCTTTGGAATATAATTTATTGAGTCATCACTTTGATCCATTGATTGAAGTCTGAAGTCCACAAAAGACTAATGTCCTCATTTCATGCCACCTTAAAGGTGTGTTTGGATCAAATGTGTGTTTGGATCAAGGAATATGAGATTTTCATAGAAATAGAATCCACATTTTTATGTTTGGTTGATTATGAATCTCATTCACAGTAATGTTTTATTACCAATAGTAGATTTTTTTTGTATATTACTGGGAATATCATTACTTTCATTTCCTTAGGTATTGTTAGATTATCAGTATTTTGGACTAAAATGCCCTTAATTTTTTTTTCCAAAAATATCCTTATTCTGTCATTGAATAATAAGAATTCTACGAAGGTTAAATTACAAATTTATCCTTAAACTATTTTAGATTTATAAAAAAAAGTCTATAAGTAAAATTTTATATGAAGTTCAAAGGTTAAAATAAAATTTTACCGTTTCATTAAACCTTTTTATATTTTCAATCTTGTAAAAAATTATATAAATTTTATGAATTTAAATTTTTTAAAGAAAATATATAAATATTTTCAAACTTGTTAAAAAAATAAATATATAATAAGGATAATTTTGTCAAATATACATTCCAATAATCTTTTATTCCTCTAACCAAATACAGTAATATTACATTCTTGCTAAACCAACCAAACACAAAATACAACCTTCCTAATAATCCTATTCACAAATAATCTTACAATCTCATTAATAATCTTATATTCCGTGAACCATAAAAGCAATATTCTTTAGACTTACACTTTAGATAATATCGTTGACCTCACAACATGATTCACGCTTGCGGCAATGATTGAAAAATTGTTGAGTTGAATCAGAAACGGCAGCCACAAAAGTTGAGAATAAATACCCCAAAGAATTACCAGGCTGACAGTGCTAATCAGCCTAACTTTTCTTTCAATTATCATCACATGTTTCAGACAGTTTCGGTCTGCTTTTGTCCTTGCTGTCACAAAGGCCATAATTGATCTCCACCTTCTTAATGTCCATAACTATAAAAAAATTATGCTTTTAGCTTATGAGCCATTGGAGATGCCAGGAGTTTTCACATTTGCCTACAGCATCTTCAAGACTTCAACCCAAAAAGGATCTTCTACTCGAATTTCTTTAATTTATTTAGAAAATTGTTATATACCACCTATGAATTTTTTATGTAAATCATGTCTAAGTTATCATCTCTCTATCGTTGAAATTTCATATATTTCATCCTTTTGTAGTTTCTTAACATGACCACTAACAAAACCACACGATTTACCAATTAAATTTATCACTTAATAATCAAATTTATTTGCTAACCTAAAAATAACAATTATCATTTAGATTTGACACCAGGTTGGAAAGAGGGATGACACCCTCTCTTTCTCGACGATATCTCATTTTCTTCGTTTATTTGTTCTCCATTTCATCGAATAATTATTTGCACTTTTCATCTAAATCAAAATAGATAAATTATCAAAAACTACCCTAATATCCATAACTCTATTCTTCCCATCATCAAATATCATAGTATGTACCATGTTCACATGTCTGGAGCTTCTAGACTCAAAAGAAGCTTAAAAAAAAGGGTTATAAAAACAGTATATACCAGCCCTTTACTTGCAATCTTAAAGGAGCGATCAAGAATCTGTTTTTTGACAAACATGGGAGAAGAATAAAGTGTGGTTGTTGGAAGTTCCCATCAAAGGCAGATCAACTCTCTTAACAAATGAAAATAAAACTAGAAAATGCATTTAGTGACAGTTAAGCAATCACATTAGCGACTAGCCTCGATAAATAAACAATTAAAAATGCAGACCAAGTACAGATAAGATAACCCTATCTCATTTATTAAACAAACAGAAAAAGTGAAGAAAATCCACCGATTCCAGGCCACGATTTGCAGATGTTAAACAAGTAATGCTTTGATTTCAAACAAGATAACATAGTTGATTTCATAGGATGTCAGTTCAATATTCTACAGTGAAAGATAATACTATAATTTATAACAAAAAGGCTTAGCTTTGATCAAATTTACCCAGATCTAATTCTCTTTTGACTAGCGTTTCCATCAGGTTCGTATGTCCCGGCCGAATCGCCTTCCGATGAAGGCTCCATCGACCTGGTGAAAGAGCTCGAGAGATCGGCGTAGAGATCGGCCACTCTTCTAATGTTGTTGTTCAACTCTTTAATCAACCTGACATTCCTGCTCAAGTTATGGGGGATCTTTGACTCATGGTTTTGGTTAATCTCGTTGATTAGCAGCCTGTTTTGGTCTAGGATGTCTTGAACTTGCACAGAATTCTTCTGAAAAGTCTGCAAAACCTTGCCATCCACTTGATCTCCATTACCAAACCCTGGATATATATTACCTTCCATTCCACAGTTCACTTCAATCAAACCACTGTTATTCCTGCATAACAACACATCCAATTAGGAAGATAAAAGGATAAAAGTGACAGTCATTACTCATTATTGTAAGAAAAGAATAAAAATGCAACACGGAATGGAACAATATAGTCTCTATTTGGTTGAGAAGAAAATGAATGCAAAAGAAAGATAAACTTAAGTTTTAAGACCATAAATTTCTAATTTGTATTATATAGGAGGCTCAACATTCACCAAAGGACGCTACGTCAAAGAGTTTTAACAGTCTGGAATTGGATAAAATTACTGCTAAAAGGTTTTCCTTTGCCTTTCTCCACATTTCCTAGCAACCAAGCAGAGATTAAGGGTGTGTGTGCATGATAAGAGACAATGTATTAAGCACACACAAAAAAAAAAAAAAAACAAAGAAATTTGGTTTTGTTTTTGTGTTTGAAAGAGGAAAAATCACTGCTTTTCCCATAAAAAGCAACTTTTAAACCCAAAGTTCTTATTTTGAGAGACCCCCACAAAATCATATATCCAAATCTAAAAAAACATCATTAAAAAGAAAAATAGAGACACGAAAGAAAAGCAAATTTTGGTGTAAAAAAGGGGAATAGTAAGGCACAAGGAAACAATTTCTTCAGTTTGTTGTTCCAAAAATAGATTTGCAAAGAGATACACATCTCCCTCAAAAACAATAGAAAGGGGGAAAAAGCTCAAAAAGCAGGTAAATGTATAGTTATTATATCAACACAAACGGAAAGAGAAAAAAGCCATTAATACAATACAAGTATGGTATAAACAAAATCTGGGTTGATATGCATTTTCCATTTCTTACCTTGAAGCCACAAGACAGGTCGAGCGAGAGACGGGGTAACAGCAGAATTGGAATCTCTTTCCAGCAAAATATGGGATTCGGATTTATATCTTCTTCTGACAGGAAATAAAGAAAATAATGTAAGGGAAAATTCTAAAGCTTATGGGGATGGTTGGGAGAGATTAGAATCAAGTCAACACGGAGGCCCTGAAATCATGAAACCAGAAAAAAGAAAGAAAGAGAGAGAGAGGGCATACGGAGAATGAAAGGTGTGATAATTTGATTGGCATACTCTATGAGACACGACTATTAACGTTGTTTGTTGGTTCCTCTATATATGTTTTGTCTCTTTCTCTAGACTTTTGAAGAGAGTCGGGAAAACCTAAGGCAGGCAGTCAGGCAGAGATTTTTTTTTCTTTCTGGTTTTCATTATCCTCACCTCGTTTGCTTCGCCTGCCGGCTGTTGCAGTACTTCAGTAGTATATATTTGGTTTGGGTTGCCAGATACAACAAAATATTTACTAAAAGTCTAAAACACTGATGAAGAAATAAGTAGGGGTCGGTTATGTTTCATCGAATTGAATCAGAAGAGCACATCATTAGATTGAGTTTGTCAAATAGACGAGTTTTGTTTTTGTTTTTTTAAATTTAAATTCCTCAAATATAATATAGGGCAAAATTACTTTAGTAATATAGTAAAAATTTGTTTATACAAGGTATATTATAAATTTGATTTTTTTAAAGAGGGTACTTTGTATTAATGATAAACAAAGTACACCACTTCAAGGACCTCATTAAAAAACCTCTTAACCCTAAATAGAGGAAAAAAAGTATACAATGAGGTGGTAAGAAACTTATACACATAAAACTTTAACAACATTCAAACCATACCCCCGTCCTACCACAATCCCCAATCCAACACAAAATGAAACCAACACAGACTAACAGACAAATTGAATAGAAGCCTAATTGGGAACCAAACGCATATAGCAAAACTAGTGGAATGAAACTTAACAACAAAACGATACAGCAACAACACCCTAAACTAGAGCACTAAGAAATTGAAACTCACTTGCTGAACTTCCAAAGGAAACAACTCCCAAATTGCAGAAATAGCCAGTAATCTCATACCAGGACAACAACAAACATCCAGGGATCGAAAACTTCTCAAGGCTTACCAGCTAGCCCAACTTATCTGGTTAGAAGAAAATTGATTCCCATAGAGAAACATAACTTGCAGATATTGAATCTTCCCGAGGTTAGATGGATCACTCGACAAGATTAGCGACTAACATCAAACACCGATTGAACAATGAACTCCAATCTCTCGAGCACCCTTTTCCTTGAAGCTCCAAACTGCACCACCGGTCTCTAACATGCCCACGACAGAATTAATAATTCCTTCTAAATTGGAAGGAATTTTCACTATGTTAACTGTAGATGTTTCACACCCGATTTCCTTCCACTCTGCCTTGAATAACTGAAACTTCAACTATTGGAACTACTAAAAATCTAGAATTATTTGAGATGGATTGGGTCATTTCAATATGGGATGGCTCTCTATTAATATCAACTAAACCAATGCTATCATCCACCAACAGATTAAACGGCCCATCATTCGACACTATGAACACATCGAATAAACTATTACCGACAGCCACCTCATTTCCCACAACAGGAACTGCATGCGGATACCATCTTTTCAGAGCACCATCTTCACTTTTCTTTTTTAGTGTTTCATTAAAACTTTCTTCAATAAAGTTTACCTCAAAACCAACATATGCAGCAGAACCCTCATGCAACTTAGGAAATATCTCATCACCGATTACTGTTGTATTCGCAGCTCCACCACCGACCGGAGTGCCATCAATGAACACACAATGCATTACACAAACACAGGAGCGGACAATAGACAACATCTATAAGCAACACCAAAGAACATATAACTAGCCAAAGCAAACACAAGACAACTGCAGCAACAACACACAATCAAATGCGGCAGATCACCAAAGCACAAGAACGACACCACCCACCAAAGAACAGGCCACTGGACAACCACACCCACCAAACAGTAAATGGTGAAATGAAGTAATCCACCAGAAAACAGCTTGTCAACCAATAATATTTTAGCCACAACAAATCAGACTAACAATAAAAACAACATACTAAAATTCTTACACTAAAATACTATTTGTAAAACTACTCCAGCTCCTCTTAAAACCCACGACAAAAACCTCAAGACCAAAGCCTTAAACCTCCACAACCCCTGACAGTCACGCACCAAACTCAAACAATTCTGGAGACGCTAAATCCTTGAGAACATCACATTCAGAACCAACATCATTTATGGACCCAAACCTTGAGCCTACTCGACTCCTCTTCTATTTAATATACACACTCATAACCTCACCATAGCGACCCACTATCTGCCATAAACCTTACCAATGAAGAGTGTTTGATAAAATATCCACAAACAAAGAAACAGATTCTGACGAAAGACCTGAAACACTCTCCCACGTGCTATATTATTTCAAGTGAGCAATAGATTGGTTGACTATGGCTTTTACATAAACAGCTTGCATGCATATTTAACTATCGCAATCTGACTCCAGAAGCTAACTAGAAACTCACGCAGTAACTCAAAACTATGAAACTAATTTATACATAAACCAAATCTCAAGCACAAAACATCAATCAATTAGAAACAAGAATAAAATCATAGCTGGTAGAGAAAAAAAACGATCTCACCAAGCTAGAAGAGAACATCCAATCAATCGAGTAGCAAGTTTAGGGACGAAAGCTAACGAACCATAATCTCCAAAACACCCAGGCGGGGCCGACCAATCCCTTGTTCAAAGAAAAAAAAAAGATTCAACGACACTGTGTTGGGTTTTATGATCTATCATGAGTCATGTATCTAGACTGCATTGTTACATAAGATTCTGATCAATTCTTGGGTTAATTTTTTTACGATAATATTCAAGTATTTTTATTAGAATAGAGTGAGAAAGAAATTAATCTAGTTAAATAAAAATTAAATAATATTTTAATAATAAATTAAAATTAAATAAATAATTAAAATTGAATATATCTTTCTGGTATAATTTATAATAATGTATATTTTAAAATGTCTGTTTCAGTTTAGTATTTATTTTACAAATAAATAACTATATTCTAAAATTTAATAAAATTATTTCTGTAATGTAACTATTTTTAATAATTTTTATTAGTTAATATTTTCACTCACAGATTGATTGAGACAAAATTTTATACTTTATAATGTCCAACTTAATTTAGTGCCATTTAACTTAATTAGAAAAAAAAGTATAGAAATCAAAATATAAAAAAAGTATAAATTCAAAAAGTTATAATAATAAATTTTTTTTATTTGTATATTATTAATTTTAAACTAAATTATTTCTATAATGCAAGTTCTTTTATGAATGCATGAAACAATTTACTTTACTGATTAAAGAAATTAGTGTTATTCTTAGAAATTTTAAGTTTGAGCACCAACGAATGTAGAGTATTTGAAAGTTCTTTGTTAAATAGGTGAAAGTCTCTAACATATACTACCATTTGTAATTATCTAGAATAATACACAAAATTCTTAATATAAATTTTATATTAATAAAATAGATATTTTTTATTACGAAGACATGTATTACTGATACATATTAAGGAAATAATAATTTAATGGTTAAAATATTAGAAAAATATTTGGGCAATTATCATTAACCGCCGTTAGGGGTTTGCAGTTGGGTGAGTAAATATTAATGTACTCAAAATAGAATGATTAAAATAAGCAGATCATCCAAGAGGAGAAGCAAGACGGCGATGGAGGTAGACATTAGACTTAGCTAGATCTTTCTCTTTTCAATCAAAAATAATAATAACAATAATTTTTCGGATGACCAAAACATTAGCAGTAAAAAAGTGGAGTAACCGTTTTGGAAGTTTACCCTATTTTTAAAGTGGTGAAAAAAAAAGAAGTTTTACAGTAGTAACAGATATGGTTTTTAGCTATCAAAACTAAGGGTCTGTAAAGAGCCCATGAAGCATCTAATGCGAACACCGACCGAGCTAGCTACCGACAGATATGGGCATGCCGTCTTCATGGCTTTTTATGCGTGAAAGTGAGGAACATTTGCAACAATACAATCCGCTGTTTTCTAGTTCCAACTGGCTTAACTATCATTTGGTTTATATTAATTTCCTCTTAAAATTTTATCTTCTAACCTAAAATCCTATCGAGAAGCGACAAGGTGGAAAAGGTGAAGAAAGGGGGTTGAGTAGCTTTCAGAATATTGGAATGGAACTGATCGATAGGACAATGATTTTCCCCTACAGAAGGGATTAAGTCTCCGCAGGGGACTGCTTCTTTCCAGACATTTTAAAGCTATATATGTACTGATCTTGCACCAAATCTCCCCCCAATAAAAGTGGGAGAATATGACTTGCAGTAACCCTTTTGTATCATCAGATTAATCGACAGGTCCTTTCACTTTTATATTCACTTTTTCCCTATCTTTCCCACAGATTTTTAAGAAAGATTATGTTTTTTATATAGGCCTCCAGGAACTAGTGTCCAAAGACTACAATATGCATGCCATACTAATCTACTTGTCAGTTTCTTTTACTTTTTGATAATGTTGATTAACACAATCACGAGAGTTTGGGCTGTAGTTTCAGCAACTAGGATATGTAGCTGACAAAAATACCTGAGTCCTGGCATTGCTAAATTCAATGACTGATTAACAAGGATTGCATCAAATTCAAGAATCATAATCATTGCGGATAAAAACAAAAGTTGTTTCCGTTCCATAAAAGGTTTCAGTTAAAGCCCTCATCAACTTGGAGGAATCTGCTCACCCACTCCAAGTTGCGGGTGTCCTCGTTGGAGAAATCGAAGAACTCATCCACATCGAAGCCGATATTCGGGTCCTCGCATCCGGCACATGTATTCTCTTCTCTCGCTTCTTCGTTGGCATTCTCCGCTAATCTCTTTTGAGTTTTGCAACCTTGTCTTGCCGACCCTCCACTTTGTTTCTCGTTCTGATTCACTTTCTTGCTCAAATGAGAATTCCAATAGTTCTTGATCTCATTATCTGTTCTTCCCGGTAATCTCCCTGCAATCAAAGACCACCTGCATAATGGAAAACTCATCATTAATAATCTCAACTTTGGAAGATATTGCAATTTGCAAGACTCATCCAAACCAATTGACCTGTTTCCAAGGAGTTTATGTAGCCTAAGTATCAAGTCCTCTTCTTGGTCTGTTATATTTCCTCTCTTGATGTTAGGCCTAAGATAATTCATCCATCTCAGCCTGCAACTTTTGCCACACCTATTTAAACCTACAACAAACGTAAAAATAAAAAATAAAAAAAAGATTAAAATACAAAACACTTATATCATATGCCTATATGATTAATTTACTTGGTGACTACGGGCTACCTGCTATGTTTGCAATTGTCCTCCACCTTCTAGCACCATGAACTGCAATAACCTCGGCCAACTTTCTATCTTCTTCAGCCGTCCAAGCTCCCTTGTTGAATTCTGATCTCTTAGGGGCCGGTACATTTTCTTCCATTTTTATGGGTCCGATATCTTCGAATTTCTTTCGATCCAGTAATGGCTATATATAATCAGAAAGGGAGATGGAGGAGATTGTATGTGGCTCACTGTTTTATCTACCCTTCTTCGTGTGTAAGAAGAAACTCAACTACCACTTAACTACACGCATATATAATACGTATTTCAAAGCTACAAAGTATTGAGACAAGAGAGAGCTGCGGAATGCAGACAACATGAAAAAGGACAGCAGTGTTGGCTTTGAATTTTGATGATTGAGGAATGAAAATGCTGTAAAGTATGTACAAAAGCCCGCATATTGCTCTGGCAAAAGGCCGCAGATATATGCATAGTGCGCCTGTGACTTTATTTTAGGGGGCACAGACAAAATGAAAAGATGGCATCGGCCATTGTGTGTGTGTGTGTGTGTTTTTTAAAGTGTGAAAGTTAGATGGTTATGGAACAGGAATCGGCGAGCATCTCCCCATCCATATTCCATAACCAAGTTTGCCAAGTAGCTGCTAATTTTATGACAAAAGGGTAGACCTATGGATAGACAAGTAGGAGATGAATACAATGCATTGCTTAATTGAAAGATTAAGTTTCACTCTCATTTTGTTTTATATATATAATTCTGTTTTTTAGAGAGCTGTGCCTAAAGTATAGATGTATGACTATTTAAAAGGCCGACTTATCTTAGCTACCTTCATTTTATTTTATACTTTGTTCTTAACATGATTTGTGGTCATGTCTTTTTGCAGCTATATTTTATATTATTTGATCTTTAGGGTCCGGTTAAAAAAAATCTGAGAGTTTTAATAAGTAATAATATATAGGATAATTGTTTGAATTTTTAATAATGTCACCTTTTAGCTCACTCTCAAGCCTAGATAAAGTTACTTGATAGTACTTTATCATTAGTATATAATTTATTAATCGATTAATTCATATCAAGAATGGAAAAGATCAATTTATAGAGATAAACTTCATAACCCAATCTATTTAATTCACAATACAGAATGTAGGATAAAAATTCAAAACAAAATGATAATATTATTAGATTTTGTTGAAATTTCCAGTTTGCTTCATTAGTTCAAGGAGTAAAGGGATATTAAGGACAGCTCAAGAAGGATTGCAGGTATGAGATTGATTCCAACGCAAACCACAACCATAGCAAAAGTGATATCCGCATCTGCAAAGCAAAAACAAGTAATATAGATTTATAGTATATTACATACAATGATCAATTCAAAGATCCAAAAAGCACTGTTTTTAAAAGCGGAAAGGGAGGTAAAAATAATAAAACCTGCATGAAATGTGCAAACAGCCATCAACCTTTTCCACATAAATCTTGCAACTCGGACATCTTCTCCACTTCTTGTTCTTAGCCAACTCCATTACCTTAATATCATCCCCCAATCTTTCGTCTTTACCCAGATTTCGAAACTCACCACACGAAATTCCGGCGTGCCACGGGACCTTGCACTGCGCACAGAACAGCCTATGACAAACCGGACACTCCGATTCCACCACATTGCACCCTCCATCATCCACCAACATGGCAGAGCAATCCTTGAAAGGGCAATAAAATTTCTGGGACGCCATAACCATCGATTCACAAAGAGCATTTTCCCATCGATCAAACACTTGTCCGGGAACAATCGAACGACAAAACTGAGGCTCCAAAGCGGCATTGCAGTCCATATCAGGGCATTTAACCATTGCCATGTTTTCCTGGATTTTGGCGGCTAAATATTTGCCAACGCAATCTTTGCAGAACAAATGGGAGCAAGTGTTTCTTCTAAACATCTCCTCAACTGGATTGACATCCATGCAAATGAGGCATAAACTGCCATTATCAGCTTGAGAGTTGGACGACTCGCCGATTTGTTTCTCTTTTCCTTTACGAGTTGTCATTGAGTTGACACGACTATATGTCTCCATATGATGTATGGATCCAGACCCAGTTCTAGAGGAGATTGCGGATGACATTAAAGCCTCTTGCAAGTGTAACTCGAGTGCATACTTCTCATCAGAGATTGGAAATATTTCTTCAGTGTCATAAAGGGCTGAGAAATAGAGATCATCGACAAAGTGAATGATATCACCATTCCAATACTCTTCTATTTTCACCATTTTTACCCCCACTTCGATAGAGACGATGAGAACAGAAAGCACTTGATAATTGACATTTTCTTCCAGATTTTATAATTTCATGCAAAAGGAAGGTGGAGGGTTTTGCGTTGCCTAGGCATTTGGATTGGATTAATTAACTACTAATTAATGTTAATGGGGAGGTGCAATGCATCGATTATGAAAATCGTTTCCCCATGCAATCTCTTCCATTCGAAGAATTAAATGAAGTTGTTTTGTTTTTCTTGTTCATCCCATTTATTTATTGGATAAGTTTTCTTGTGTGTATTCATCCTAGAAAAGCAGGAAACCTGCTGCAGCCAACTCGGTACCCAGAAAAACGAGAATATCTTACAAAGTAATACCCCAACTTATATTTCATCCCATTTTTTTTTGTATTTTTTATTTTGATTATTTAGTTATTTTTTTAACTTAATGTTAAACACAAGTTTAAAAAGATAGTTTGATAATAAAAAAAAGTGAGATTATAATTTAATATGCAAATATGTTTAACTGTATATCTCATCCAAATTGAAGATTTATGTAAAAATGCTAGTGACTAAAATGACTACAAAATTACATTAAAACAAATATAAGATCTAATATGAGTGAAAAAATTGAAAACAAAAGATACTCAGTTTAACGTGGTAAACTAAAAGGAAATTGATTTTTAATGTCTGCTGGATGACCAATTATATAATTTAATCTTAAAATTTTTAATTTTATTTTAAAGCTAATAATAATTTTTTTACAAAAATAATATTTTTTTATCTTATATCGTATTTTTTATATTCATTTAAAGATAACTTCGTCGTATTAACCAGTGTTTAATTTTTTTATATATATTTTGATTAGATCTATCGTGATACTAAGTGAATTTGACGAAATTTTTAAGATAATGATATGGAGAAAACAATTAAAAAAAATTACTCAAATAATGATCAACGACGCTATAATGTGTATAACCCCTAAGTCGCATGGATTACCATGCGTTTTCCACCAAATTTTTGATGAAACACGCTGATTGCAATGCGTCTCCCCTAGGTTTGAATATCAGTTTTGAAGTGTTTGTGTTATTCATTCAATTGAATATGGTAGCAACCAAAACTGATTTATTTTGAATACGAAACTTGATGCGAGATTGACTAGGATAAGAAGATTGTGTGAAAGTGAAAACAATTTGTGAAGAATCATTGGGATAGAAAAGTAGAAATAAATGGCTTATGTATTCTGTAAATACCCTTTAAATATAACCCACATCCATAGCTGTAAATATTCATCCCTTTTGCTTTGCTTTCAATATCTTTCTCCAGAAAAAATTAAGTTTAGGCGAAATTTTCGGTGGAAACGCATGGGGGTTGTCATGTACCAATCATCCTATTTTAAAAATAATTCTAGTTGATTATTATTCAAGTAAATTTTTTCCTAGATAATTATACTAAACGATTCGTCAGTGAAATTATTTATTATTATATTTGGATTTTTTTATTTTTAAAATGTTATACATTTAATTTTGTTTTCAATTTATTGTAGTTACTATAGCAGAAATGAAGTTGATCGGATTACAAACTGATTTCATATTATTTATAAATCAAAACAGTAAAACCGCTCAAATTACATATAGGGTTCACTGTTCATATATGTTACGGTCCCAAGAAATAAATAATCTTCTATTTATTCTTATAGAATATAGGTTATGGTCAGCCTCAGTCTACAAATTACGGTTACACCATGTTTATATGGAATATAAGTGAATTGAAGTCGATATGTAATTTGACCAATTTCATTATTTGATTTTTTTATTTAAAAAAAAATGAACAACGAAGTGAATTTTTAATTGTTCCAATTTCACTTTTTACCGTAACAAATGTAATACGGCAAAATTTTTTAAATAATGTGTTGGAAATTTTAATTGGCTATTATAATGCATGCAGGGGATTATTTTTTTCCAATAGAGTAAATATTATAGTTTGAATTGGTGTCGTAATGGGTTCAGGCGATAAAGGTAATGAGTCTCTCTGTTTCGAAATGGAGAGAGTTCAAAAGCTCAGTGTGTCTCCCACCTCCATGATCCCAACCAAACTGAGCAAGGGAGCAGACGGTGTACCCGTGAACATGCAAAAAATTCATACGTTGCATGCATGCAACCATGCATTAAGGGGAACTGCAAAAGCTGCATGGAAGCAATAATATAGGCATTTTTTTTTTGGTAATACAGAAAGTACGTAAGGTCAGTGTAGAGAAGCTTGATCTTGTTCCACTAGCTCAGCCACTCTAGGAGGAGGAACGTGGTGAAGTCTCACCCCTATCGGACAACCTCGAGCCAGCTTAGTCATCTTATCCGTAATCATATTAACCTCGCGATAAACTTGGCTAATCTTCGTTTCCCAATCTCTATTTAACAACTAACGGATCAAGATGATAATCACGCTATCATCGGTGATATTAGCCTTCTCATTGAGAATTCTCACCGCCTTCAAGCAATCAGTTTCTAGTCCGATCTTCCTAAAATCAAGTCCCCAAGCATAGGGAAGTATATCATGGATAGCCCATTATCCAGCGTTCAACACCGAACAGTTTCCCAAACTACGACCAAAACCAAAAAGCCATTGGCCAATATTATTACGAAGAACTCCTCTTGCAGCTGCTTCATTATCCAGACCGCCAACAGCACCATCTATATTAACTTTGACCCATCCCATAGTCGGACCCTTCCATCGTATTGTAGTACGAGAATTAAGGGTAGCATCTGCAAACTATTATTTATACTTCCAACAACTTCATTCTTCAATCTTAGACTCTGTACAACTATATCCTCCTTATCCACATAATCAGCCTGAAAGAGCACATTGCACAGCCTTTTCCGGAATTCCAACAGATGTAGCATTAGTTACCCTTCCATGAAGTAAAGTAACTCCAAGATAATTGCCCAAGTTCTTGACTTCCTCAAAACCAAGTTGTTGAGCAACTAAAAAGTCTTCATAACCTCCTTAATAACTGAGACTTGTTGTAGAAGCTTCGACACAGAACCAAATTATCAGCAAAGAATAAATGCGATATCGGGTTCGTTCCTTGAGAGGTGAATGAGCTTCCAAGTTCCTTAGTACTAGTCGCTCGATTGCATGAGAGAACACACATAGCACGAATAAATAAAGGGAAAGTGGATCCCCTTGTCGAATACCTCTAGAAGGAGTAAGATATCAGAAACATCCCCATTCCACAAGACTTGGGTAGAAACGAAAGTAACACATCCTGATCCATTGAATAAACCTTTGAGGGAGACCCATCTCATTTAAAGTTTCTTTTGATGAAATCCCATTCAAGACGATCGTAAGCTTTTCAAGATCAATTTTTAATCGCCATCACACTTTCTTACCTGTTTTAGTGTGCATAGAATGAATATCTTCTTGGCAAGTATGATGTTATCTTTTATATTCCGGCCTGACACAAAACTCGACTTAGTCAGGCAAGAATGGTTTAAGTCGATTAACTAGCAGCTTTGTAATAATCTTGTATGACTCCGTACAAAGACTAATCGGTCGGAATTGATTGATTACCTCCAGGGATCAACTTTAGGAATCAGCACCATCAGAATTTTTATTCATCCATTCCATCAGCAACCCTTTTCAAAAAAGTCCTGCACTACTAACAGTCTTCCCCGCTATTCCATTTTTCTTGAAAGAAAGTTGCTTGGTAACCATAAATGTCTGGTGCCTTTGAAGGGTTCATCATTAATAAAGTTTGTATCACTTTCTCCATACTCGCAGATCTGATTAAAATTCTTAATAGAAAGACTTCAATTTGTTTGAAGCCGCCCATAAATTCCAATTCCGTGCTTAGACGAGTTTCCAAAAGAAAAACACTTGCGAAAAAAACTACCGCATGCTTTTGTAGTCTTTTCGGCTCCTCAAACCTGGCGTCATCCTCCAATCGAAGTAACGGATGGTATTTCATTTTTCTTCGATTATAGTAGCTGTGTGGAAATAACGCGTATTCTGATCTCCTTTCATGATCCATCGGCTTCTCGACTTTTGGTACCATAAGGATTCCTCCTGTTGAAGCACCGTATCTAATTAATTTTAAGGGCAACTTCTAGGTCCGTAAGAAACGGAGACTACGAATGCTCAAGAGCTTTCTCAATAACCTGGATGCGAGCTAGCAGAAGTGTTTTGTGTCTCCCATGTGACCGAATATCTCCTTATCCACTTGTTCACCTTAACTTGGAATTCCACGAGATTCTCCACTAAAGCCCTCATTATTCCACAAGTTAAGTAAGAATCCCTCAAAATCCGGGTGCTCGTACCAGGCATTCACAAACCGAAAAGGTCGGTTACTACCCATTGAATTTGGTTCTTCGGTTCTAAGAAGGATAGGTATATGGTCAGATCCCAATTTCTGCAAATGAAGAATTTCTGAAAGAGCAAAGGAATTATACCAAGAACCATTACACAGGCAACGATCAATCGTTGCATAAGATTACCTCGCTGCCAAGTAAACCGAGGTCCATTGAAACCCATATCCAATAACCAATATGGAATAAGAACTCTGAGAACTTCGAACAAATCTCTAATCTTCTTTGAGAGCCACCATGACCTTCGTGACAGCTAACGATGGTATTGAAGTCACCATCAAGTACCCAAGGACTGTTAGTATTCAACTCAAAAGATCACCCATTTTATCCAAGTGGTGGTGGCAATTTTTAAAATGGGCCTTAGGGTTTTATAAATAAATATACATTATATAATTTCAAATATTGTTTTTTTGGTTAAATATAGTAAATATAAGTTGTGGAATAAATATAGTTCTTAGTTTTTAAATATAATATTAGTATTAGTATGTAATTTTTTTAAAAAAATAGTGATATAGCTTTTGTTAAATGTATAGTTTGTTTCATTAGTGTTACATGTTAAATACATATGATATAAGCAGAGTTTCAAATTGCGGACCGAAAAAGTGATAGCGCCCGTGATATTGCTATAGCGCCGCTATCCAAAACCGATTTT